TTTAGAATATGACAGTTCCTGATACCATCGCTTGTGAGGTGCTTTTTTTTTAACTTGAGCAGTCACAGGTGCTATCGTTTGGAAATTATATCTATAAAACTAAATTTTTCCATGCAGCTATATGGTTGGAGGCCAGTGGGCATACTCAAGGACAGATGGTCTAACTATACTGAACTCGTCACCTTGTCGTTCTTTTCAGTCCAGCTTATGTAGCTTGTCTGATCGATGGATGACTGAAGCCATTGAAAACACCCAGTGAGGTTGCTACCTTTGAAGCTGAACAGATAAACGGGCCTTATCTGGAGCGATGAAACGAACAAATGGATACAAGGCCATATAGTTGTCGCACGGCGTCATTTTTATTTATGAACCAATATAGAATAACTTGTCATCGATCGATTTCATTTCTCGAATTCAGAATTAGCTGTCGTGAGAAGTATGAGTGTGATGTCGTGGTCGTCGCAACGGTAAACTACGCCAAATGTACGAGTGAAGCGAACACCTGCGCTGTTAGTTACTCTGGCGAACGTCCACGATTTGCGTTAACAAGTGATTCACGTCGGAGGTTGGCCACACAACTTAAAAGTCAGAAAAATCCGTTATCAACGTTCAATTTTACGATTCTTATTCACTGCTGGATTTTGGAGCATTCATTTTTTGAATGTCAAAAGTAAACTTGATGTCTCCCTTTGAGTCTGCCGCTACACCCTCGTCGTACGTCGTTCACTCAAATCCTTGAGAACAGTTGCTCGGCTTTCTAAGTATTATAAGTCATTTTGTGACCAAGACTCAATTAACAGTCCGCTGCTGCTATGGATATCCTCTTCCCCCATGGGTAAACACTGTGGCCATTTCCATCGAATATATATAAACGAAATTTCAGATCTTTATAGCCAAATTTTTATCCCTTACGCTATGTGAATTGATGCATTAAGATGATTCAATACTGTTAAATGTAGCACGATCCTGAGGTGCTATCTGGCTGCAAATCATCATCATTGAACATTTGCAATGGAGTTCCAATGTACCGTTGATTCCTACGCCCTTTCCATAAGATAATTCATGTTTGTGATATTTTCGTACCCGCCTGGCATATCACCCCATCTCTAATTTAAGTCAATAAATGTTCCTGAATGATTACAGTACTACGGCTTTTGCACCGGTGAAATCGTCATGTGGTGACGTAATGGACATGGAAATTACTACCAATCTTTCAAACGCTTTTGCCTCGCAACATAGGGCCTGAAGTCTGGTTTCATCAGAATAAGGAATTGTCTTTTGTTCATATATCAAGTAAATTTTTGTTTTTTATATCAATGAAAACATCAAGTTACTTTATACTATTGCTTAAACATTGATAAAAAAATGTGCTCATTCCAAATGTCTTCTGAAATTTACAACTCGGTCGTTCATTTAACCTGAAACTTCTTCATGAACCATCATCTACAATGACTAAGTCAGTTGGTTTCGATAACCGCGTATTATTTCGGGTCGTAAACGCATGCCCGTCTTTCTGCCTCCAACGTTCGCGAGTCTCTGCCAGCATTTGAGCTTCGGCGGAAGAAAGTCCGACTTTGGAGCACAGTTTGTTGAAACTCTTGCCCAAGGATACTGTTGGCTATCGTCGAGGACTTCCACCGGACTGTTGGGTAACTAATTGCTCTTTCACATACATTTTTAAGGCATTCGCAGGTCAAGCCGAACCCGTTGCAGAAGTGACATCTCACTTCTGTAGAACCAGCGGCTGTGCAAGAAAACTTTCTCTCGGATATCCAAACTTCGGATCATGTCGATACCCAGCGAATATTCGCTGAAAGCTGACTTCAGCCGCTTGTATCCGGCATCGAAGTTCTTCAGCTACAGTCAGCGACTCATCTTCATCGGTTTGCATGGGGATGAAGATCGCCTTGAACACAGACGACTAAGTCTTCACACTAAGCTCGACTTCAGTCCAAAAGGTAGGGACTGCTTCACGCAGAACGCCGTTTGCCATTCCAATTCCGCGATCGATCCATTCCTCGCATTTATGATTCCGACGTCGGTGAGCGGTTCCACTGCTTCTCAATTTATCCTCACAACGCAATGTGCAGGAGGAGGAGAAAACTCTGGGATATTCGTTTAAGACACATTGACGCACTTGCCGCCCACGTAGATGTGAAACTTGCCACGGGGCGTCGCAAATCAGCTTCTGAAGATGGTGGCAAAATATAAACGTCTGCAGACGATAAACTTCTCGCCTCTCCATCTCCTACACTGTTACACTCGATACTATAGCTGCACATGATTATCTTATGAATATACGTTACAAACAGAAGAGGGAACACAACACAGTCTTACCCCAGATACCAGGGTAAACTTTCGAAAGTCTCAACTTAAAGCTGTTTACTCTTCCGCAGCACCTGCTATCGACAGATAGTGATTGGATAGCTGGCAGCAACTTCCACTGATCTCATATGCAGCAGACATGTCCATAGCTTGCTGCGTGGGACTTATCATAATCTCTATTCAGGTCAGCGGAGCCCTTTAAAACCTGATGAGCGAACTCCTATCGTTTCTAAGCAATCTGACGTAAGGCGAAGACCTAGTCATAGGTTCTTCGGTCTGACCTGATTCCACACTGCTCTTCATATATCTTAGAGTCAGTTATTCCACGGAACCTTCTGTCATACACCATTGTGCTTGAACTTCCTGACAGGCTCAATGAGGCACTGCCCTGGAAAAAATCCCAGAGTTCTTCCCTACTGAACAGTTTTTCTACAACCCTAATTTTTCAATCCCTTGGTGTCTTTCCCACAGCCACTGAAGTGTAACAGACATGAGTTAGTCACTAACTTTGTGAGAACTAGCTTTGTTCGTCTGAAGCCTTAAACATCTCAGAATGGGATTCATCCATTCCAGAAGTCTGGTCACTCGTCAAGATCTTACTGCTTCTGTGACTTCATTCTCTGAAAAAGTAATGTCTGTTGTCTGCGGCTGTTCATGTGAATTTTTCTAAGGCTGCTAGACTGCTCCTCAAAGTACTGTCGCCATCGCTGAAACATATTCCTTTCCTAGATATGAAAATGATCGGACTTGTTTTTCGATATCGCAGACTGCATTTCCTTCTAGCATGAATGTCACTGATAACCCACCGGTGTACCTTCTTCGCCGTCTGCAAATTTGGCTCTAACTTCTCACTGAACCATGTTAAGGAATGAGTTCTCACTTTTGTCAATGCTTCCCCCGTCGCCTTAAAGGGTTTCTTCATACTGTATTAGATTTGAAGCCTCATTGCATTCAAGCTACCTACTGCATGCGGTTTTTCTCACTGAGCTTCCGCCTTTTCCCCGTCATGCCTCATCACTGCAGTTTGTTCATACAGTCCTGTTTCCGGGTTTCGCCCCCGTTTCCGCACACGATGATTTCCATCTTATTTTCTGGAAGCTTCTGCGGCCAGGAATTTCATTTTTTGCTGGGAGCAATGTGCCTCTTTTAACGCGAAAATTCGTCACTGAGCGTCGTAAATCAGATGATATAATTATCAAACCATTCTCTGACTTCTGTGCACAAGCTTTCCTATTCGAGGCATACCGATGCACATTAAAATGCTCGGAGTTTTTCGTAATAGGCAGTCATTTGTTTGCAGAAAAGCGCAACAACTTGATGCCCTTATTGTTCAGATCACTAATACCATCACGTAATTTCACTTGCAAGTATATGCTCTGACATGCGCATTAAAATCGCTCATTAGAATGAGGAATTCCGTAGTCGGCACTTTGTACAGAACACTTTCTACTTCCTCCAGGAATGACCGATTCTCGCTTTAAATTGGGTGCATAGGCCTGTAACAAGGTCAATACTTTCGCCTGTTGCAGCTGCAGTCGGAGGTCTGCAACTGTTAGGTTGACAGCTTTCCATTCAATGGCCTTGTCAGTGATGTTAGGTTCTACCAGGGCACTAGTATCGACTTGAAGGCGGGTTGCAGAATCGACATTTGAGTAGAATATTTTCCACCCACGGCGGTTCAGAATTTCAGAGCCCTCGTTCTTAGATGACGGAAGTCCTACTGTTTACAGTCTGTGCCATGCGTTTTCATCATTCAACTTGAGTGCTGCTTGCCTCTGAGGGACCAGATATTGCAATATCTGACTGTGAGCTGCCGTTGTCCGTGTCTTTCCCGTGGTATCTTATTAAACATGCTGTCGAGGTATCGCGCTGTCTGCCTAATTCATTCAAACTGAGTAACAAGTTCGTTGCTCATTGGTACTTTCGTCATCATTGGCATGTCGTGTCTATCTTCGCAAGCTGTGGTCATTGTGCTACGTTTCTTTCTGCAAGAAGGCTGGAAGCAGGATCTGTCCGCCGATCTTTTACAGTATATCCCAGTTGCTGAGCAGACTGCGCGGCTGTTGGAAAGCAGCGCGATGGCGGA